CTGATGTCAAATGACGTCACACGTTAAATTTGGGGTGATTTGTCCAACTCAAATACTTTGTGGGTGGATTTGTCCCCATTTTTTGTTCAAAGGTGGATCCGTCCCTACCACTATACTTTGAGGGTGGATTTGGGTATTCTGCCAAATATAAAACCAATGGCCCCAACCAAACTCCAAGTCTACAGCACATATGCCAAAAAAATAATAAAAAATAACTTTAACTACTGACCGTGATGAATTAACTGTCCAATCAACGGCTGTAGAAACGGCGTCAAGAAAAAGGACGACAATGAACAAAATAAAGGAAGTAGAGGGACGACATTTGGTGTGATTTGGGAGTAGAGGGATGAAAATGAACAAATCTGTAGTAGAGGGACGGTTATGAACAAAATTTCAAAGTATAGGGATGATAATTGGCTTTAACCCGCCATTACACACAGTTACCAATTATTCTTGGAATACAGGTCTTTTATAATCAAGTCAGAACCAGTAATCCGTAGGTCACAATTCTATAGGCTATGTAAAATATTACAATTGTGTTTGATTTATTTGATTTTATCAATTTATAAACGTTAGTGTTTGAAAATATCAGCTTATAGGTTAATTTCAAACTATTAAGTAATATATATTTCTAAACAGTTACTGTTATAAGTTATTTTACCAGTTAAATTAAGATACGTTTAGTAATTAAAACGCAAGACTTTTTATAAAATTATTTAAATGTTTCTAAAAGATTTATTTTTTTGTATGTTAATTCACTAAAAAAATTTAAATAATTTTATAAATTTTTTTTGATATTTTAATTATTAAGATGCCTTAATTTTTTGCTATCCCTGGACTAAATATAGTTATAATTTTTTTTGTGTGGCATAACCATGGCCTAATCTGTACGCTATTAGAATGAAATTTAATGACCCTGAAATGTATTTTGAAATGAGGAATATCAGAAATAGATAGAATATCCACATTTCTCCAGAAAAAGGATAAGATTAGGAGTGGGATAGATAGACAAACTCAAAACACAAGCATCATAGTTTCACCAAGAATTTTACAAGAGAAAATTGTGAGTTCAACAGTATTTAAGCAACGCTGAAAGAACTAGCAGTGCTCTCCACAAACTTTCTGGCTCCCTTAAACCACCTCTTGTCTCCGGCTTGCGCCTTGCAGATGTAAAGCTTCCCGCCATTTACGGTGGCCGTGATCAGTTGGTGTTTCCCACCTTCATCTCCATCTGCAGTCCTTGTCAATACTGACAAGAAGTAGTATTGTTTCCCTCCAATAACTGGAGTTGATTTCTCCAATATGTTAGCTACTGCCACAACATTTGGGTCGAATCCACCCTCTGCAGCGTCACCAAAGAAAGCTTGTTTCCCAAGCAAATAGTCCACCTGAAACAGATTTCATCAGCCAAACTAGTTCATTTATAAGATCGCAGATGAAAAATAGAGAAAATGAAGAAGTTCTGACATTTAAAACTCCCAGATATCTAATTAAAGTTATTAAATATGTGACACATAATTTGAGCTCTTAAGTTTATCAAAATCACGTCCTGCTGTTTTAAATGTAAGATATTTTGATTTTTCCTTTTCCCATAGCAAATTCTCTTCTGCCTAATAGATATGTCATATGAGATTTCCACTACATAGATACCTTAGAGAGGAATTCTTCAGGGGAACCGTAGTCCGTAATGGATTTCTTGTCAGTTGGAGTGACCATAACGGTGACATTGCTGTTAGAATCAAAGTTATCCTCATACCGGAGCACCTGACCTGGGTACTCTACCTCTTTGCTTGGATTCCATTTGGATGGAATTGACAGCTTGAATCCATCCCCATTGTAGGGTAAGAAGTCTGTGTTTGTTTTGGGTTTCCCAAATACATTTGCTGCAAATCAAAACAATAAATCACTACATGTTATAGTTTATCTCTGTCCTGTTACTATTACTACTCTAATTCAAGCATTCTTTGTACTCCATCTGACCTATAATAATCCTCGTAGTTTTAGCCTTTGTTTGGATTGAGGGAGGAGGGGAGGAGAGTGAAGGAGATGTCTCCCCTCTATGTTGTTTGGGTAACTTCACTAAGGGAAGGAAAATGAGAGGGAGGTAGATGGAGGGGAGTGGACTGTCTCCAAATCCTTTATCCCTTTCAAATTGGGAGAATTCAAAATGATTAGATTTATTTTCATTTTATTTGTTTACTTTTTAAAAATATATATATAATATTAAAATTTATATTTTAACTTTAATATTAATATATAAATTTATAAAATTTTAATTAATTTTATAATTATTTTTCTTTCATTGATTTAATTAAATTAAAAAACATAATCTATTACTTCCTTTTCTTTCTCTTTTTTTAATCTATCCAAACAAATTTAATACTAATATTTTCCTTTCCTCACCCCCCTCTCTCTACATTTCCTCCATTTCTTCTATTTTTTTTTACTAATTTTTATCCAAACATAGTGTTAGTGGTAAGGAAAAGAATTGGAAAATAAGATAGTGTTTATCTGGTAGATTTTTAAAAAATAAAGTGAAAAAAAAGTTTCAAAATTATATTATTTTAATATATTTTTATTAAAATAAAATAATATATTTTTAAATAAAAATGAAATTGTTTTATTATTATTTTTCAATGCTTTATTATAACGATGTACGTTTCTTTTCCTAATTTTTTAAAAATCAGAATAATAAACACTAATTTTTGAAAAACAAATTCTAATCAGAACAATTTTTTTTGTAAAAAAAGATTGTTATTTTGGAATAAGGGGGAATAGCATTCACACACCTCCATGCACTTTCTGATTCGATGAAAATAAGTACGTGTGAAAGATGAGAGGACGTACCAGCTTCACCATAGGCTGCGTCGGCAGGAGAAACCTTGGAGCCAATGGCAGCAGCACCAATGAGGACGGTGAGAGCCAACCGGCGGGAGATGTCGCTGCCATCACCTTCATGATTAACTGCCTGTTTCTGGGCCCTGCACACTAGAAGGCTGGGCTTGACGTTGCAGAGCGAGCGCTGCGGAGATGGAGATGATGTGGTGGCGGTGGTGATGGCATTGAGGTGCAAGAAGCATGAAGTAGAAGCCATTTCCCTCTACGGTCGCTGGGTTAGATGCAGAGATTGTTGTGCTTGAGTTGGCGTTTGAGTGTGAAAAATGAAAGAAAAGTTAACATATGTGAAGGGAATTGGGTCGTTTTTGGATATTGGATTAGATTTCTCGATTTTGGGATAAGGTGATTCAGGTTTTAATGATGACACGTGGCATGGACTTCTTTGGTTTCAAGTCCAAGTCAGATTTCATTGGGGGAGGGACGTGACAATTCAATTCAAACGTGAGCAAACTAAACCGTATTGGCCAATGCATTAGCAATTTCATTTGAATATATAAATATTATAAATTAAAAGAAATAGTAGTAAAGTAAGAAAATTTAAGAGTAAGAATTTTTTATTTTACTATGTATCTTGTTATGTCTAAATCATATTAGCCTGTAGGTTCATATATATGTTAAGAAAAAATGTAAATAAATATATTAATTTTAAATTTTTTATTTAATAATGTTAATTTTGTTAATTTCTAAATAAATATATTAATTTTTAATTTTTTTATTTAAAAATATTAAATTTTAATTTTTTTATTTAATAATATCAACTTTTAATATTTTAATTAAAAAATTTATTTGCTACGTTAGTGTTATTATTTAATTAATTTTTAAATAAAAATAGTTGAAAGTTAGTATTCTTAAATAGAAAAAGTTGAAAATTAATATTTTTAAATTAAAAATGTTGAAAGTTACTATCCCAATTTAAAAAGGTTAAATACCTTTTTTTGGGTCCCTTTATTATATGAAAAAGTCCCTTTTTAGTCCCTATACCGAAAAAATCTCTTTTTTGATTTTTACTGTTTGAAATCCAGTCCCTTTTTGGTCATTCCGTTAAATTTTGATTGATGTGACAAGTTAACTAACGGAAAAACTTAATTTTTTCTTTATTTTAATTATGCGAAAAATCCACCTAGTACAACTCGATGACATGGCCAAATTTTTTTGTTTAATTTAACCTTAAAAATCATTTAATTACATAATTGCCATTATAAATATTTTAAAAATTATTTTGTGATTAAAAATACTTACTTTTAATTACTTATTTGCCCCCATTTTCTTCCCACTTTTGTCTTATCCTCTCTTGCCTCATCTTCTTCCCTCTTCCCTCATCTTCTTCCCTCTTCTATCTTATGCCGCTAGGTTCGTCACGAACCTAGATTTGTCACGATGATCCAATTCTTTGAATGATCAAATCAATAGTCAAAATTCAAACACGAAATCAAAATATTTCATATTTAGAATCAGTAGATGCAAGCTAAAATCTAATATAAAAACCAAGATACATAACATAAGAGATTCGAATCTCCAACTACAATACTCAAAATTATTCCTAAGAACGATCTAATCATCAGATGAAATTCAAAAGCTAAATCCACATCATTCATATTCAGAGACAATGAAAACGAAAAATGGAATATGAAATACAAAGTCCTAGCATTCAAACATAATCAGTAGATGAAACCAGGAGCTGGGTTCGTTGCGAACCCAGCCTAGATCTTGGGTTCGTTTTGCGAACCCAGGTGCTAGGTTAGCGTCATGAACCCACGCGAACCCAAGTGTTGGGTTTGCATCACGAACCCACGCGAACCTAGGTGCTAGGTTCGTGATGCGAACCTAAGCACTGGGTTCGTGATGCAAACCCATGCGAACCTAGGCATTGGGTTAGCATCACAAACCCACGCGAACCCAGGTACTAAGTTTCCCATCACGAACCCAAGCAAACCCAGTGCGAATCCAACGCTGGGTTTGCAAAGACCTTAACAAGATCTGAAAAGGAAAAAAAAAAGGCTAGAGGAAGGAAGAAGATGGGGGCAAATAAGTAATTAAAAGTAAGTATTTTTAATTACAAAATAATCTTTAAAATATTTATAATGGCAATTATGTAATTACATGATTTTTAAGGTTAAATTAAACAAAAAAACTTGGCCATGCCATCAAGCTGTACCAAGTGTATTTTCCACATAATTAAAATAAAAAAAAATAAGTTTTTCTATTAATTAACCTGCCACATCAGCAAAAATTTAACGGAAGGACCAAAAATAGGTCAGATTTCAAACAGTAAGGATCAAAAAAGGGATTTTTTTCTGTATAGGGACTAAAAAAAGGCTTTTTCCTATAGTAGAGGGACCAAAAAGGATATTTAACCATTTAAAAACTATTAAAGTTAATATTTTTAAATAGAAAAAGAGTATAAGTTAATATTTTTAGTTACACATTTTTTCATGGGTTAAGGAAAATGCAAAGGTTATATTAGCCATTAAATTATAGAACTAAATAGAGGAATGAATCGCATTTTAGTGTAGTGATAAATGACACTTTAGTGAGGTTTGGAATAACCCTTAATGGTAATAAGTTACAACATGAGAGAAGATGAAGATGAAGATAAGATGAAGGTGAAACATTCACCAACAGAAAAATTCACAATACTTCTCCTTAAATTTTCACCTTTTGTATTATAATAATTTAAACTGCCCCATTAAAAATCATGATAGAAAAAATCCAATGGGATAAAAACCATAGTGCAAGGAAAAAAGTGCGATATGTATAGTGCTTCCCCTTACTTCAACAAAACTCTTTAAGATGTCACATGTTTATCTTGTGTACAAATTATTCAAAAATTTTAGTAGGCAATGATTTTGTGAAAAGATCTATAAGATTCTCATTCAAATTGATCTTTTGGACATCTATTTCACCAACATTTTCTTGTATTTAGTTCTATCTCCTTTGATGTATTGTATCCTTCCTTTATTTGTGCAAGGCATATAATATTGTTCTTAACTTATAAACTGAAACAGAATTTTGTTACTTTGAGATCTTTTATCTCAAAATATTTCTTTAAACATTTAACCACCTTTTCAAGCTCTCCAAGTGTCTTAATGATGTTTATGTCATTAACATATACTACAACAATGACAAAACAAAGTTTTAACCTCTTGGTAAAAATGCATAGATTAATGGGATTATTTTTATATCATTCTTTTAGGAGGTATTAACTAAGGTACTTGTACCACATTTGCCCTAATTATTTCAACCTATACAAAAATTGTCTTAATTTTATTGAAAATATCTATATTGACATTGAGTTAAATGCTTTAGGCATCTTTAAGTATCAATAGAGACTTTTATGTAAATATCACTATTAACGAATCCATAAAAGTAGTTATAACTTCTATAAGGCACATTTGTAGGTGCTTAGCAATTGTTAGACATATTAGAAACCTGAATGTAATTGTATGCATCATAAGAGAGTATGTTTCCTTATAATCAATACCACCTATTTGTGTAGAACCTTAAGCTACAAGTCTAGTTTTGCATCTCACAACCTCATTTTTCTTATTTCATTTTCTCATGAGGACCCATTTGTAATTAATAGGCTTTACATTATTGGGTGTTTGGATAATTGGTAAAAAAACTTGGCATTTTTCTAATGATTTTAATTCTACATGAATTGCATCTTTCTATTTTGGTTAATCACTTCTTTGTTAGCATTCTTTAATAGATTTTGGTTTAAAATCCCCATTTTCATTGACTACATCATTGGCTATTGTATATTGAAAAACATCATCAATGATAACATAATTCTGACTCCACTTTATACTAAAAAGATATAATTTATTGAAATCTCATTATTATCTATAATTTTTATATCTTTGTTATTTTCAAGTAGTTGAACTTCCTCTAGGATTATTTTGTTAGAAGCATTTTTTTTCTTAATGTTTAGAGAACTCTTGAGTCTCTACAATTTCAGTGGAGCTAATATTTTCTTTTTACTGATGTTCTAGCACATTTTTCAACAAGAATATTACTTCGAGTGAGAGCATTCAAAGCTTAGATAGATGAACTGGTTACTTTCTTTGCATCATCAGTGAATGCATCAACAATTGATTGACAACTTTTTGCAAATAAATAACTTTATAGACTTCTAGTTTACTTTGACTTGTTGTTTGAGGGTCTAAATGAAATATAAATAATGCATGCTAAGTTGATTCCTGTTTTTTCAAGTTTTGTTTCTCTCTCCTAAATGTTGGGAACAAGTTTTTATCAAAATGACAATCAACAAATCTTATTGTAAAAAGTCATTAGTAATTGGTTCAAAACCAACACAAATTCTCAATCTTCTTTGGGGACTTATTTTATTTTGTTATGTTAGGGCAATAGGAACATTACAACATAACCAAAAACTATATAGGATATATTTAGTTTAATTATAAAAACAAGTTATAATGGTGAATGTTATGATTAGCAGTTGGCTTTAATCAAAAGCATGGCTCCAAGTAGAAGAGGATAATCTTGATATTATAAATAACGGTCTAGCAAATCAATTACAAACACATAATAAGAGATTCAACCATATTATTTTATGTATGTGTATGAGGCATTAGATGCTCAACAGTAATTCCAATTAATATATAATAATTATTAAATGATTATGATGCAAATTTTCCCATATTATCACATCAGTTCTTTTTATTTTATGATTAGGAAATTATGCTCTCAATTTTATTATTAGTATAAGAAGTTTTACAAATGCAACATTGCGTGTAGATAATAGGCAAACACGCGATGATCTAGTTGAAACATCTATTAATACCATAAAATATCAAAATGAATAAAACGGCAAGTTTATAGGTCCACATATATCTCCTTAAATTTGTTCCAAAAAAAGGAGATGCATTTTCTATTTTAGTTATAGAAGGTCTAGTAATTAATTTACTAAAAGAGTATGCAATACATGAAAAATTACTTGATAATAGAACTTTCAAGTTTTTGAGAGGGTATTCGTGTAAACTTTTTATAATTCTCTACATACCATAGCATCCAAATGACTAGATAAAGGCATTTCAATTGATTAATTCCATTGGATGTATATATGTATAATAAAATCCAGAAAAGGAACTTAACATTTTCTTCAAGATATGCAAAAGTTGTGACATGGAGAATTTTATCCCATTTTCATTCATGATTTTAATATGAAAACTATCACGGCATATATCCTTCAAACTTAGTAGATTTCAATTTGATCTACTAGAATATAAATGGGTCATATATTAATTATTTTGTTCCTCTAAGTAACAAAATACAAGTTTTTCCAAAACCTTCAATCAAATTTGCCATACTAAAAATTGTTTGTTAGACTAAAAATGGTATGAACATTAGTATTAGTTAACTGTAATTGAGGAACATAATTTTTATTTTTCAAGGTAATATGTGTTGTGCCACTGTCAATAAAGCATAAGTTTTCATCATTGATCTTAACATTACACAAGTTCATTTGGTTTTAAAATAATAATAATAAAAAGAAACAAAAAAAAATATTCAAAAATATTAAGAAAACAATACATTGTGAAATAATTTATTCTTTTATTGAATATAAATAATAAAACTTATAAAATGGGGAAATAGTCACCTAGGACAAACTACTTAAGAGGACATAATAAGTCACTTTTGGTTGGGTATTTCCATTACCAATACCATTACATTTTTCAATACCTTCAAAAAAATTTGCAACATTAAAATATGTATCAAAATCCATATTTTTATATTCAATAAAATTTATTTCTAAACATTTTCCCTTTCCATTAAGTAGCTTGGTAAAAATCAACCCAATGTGAGCATGTGCAATAGGTACGCTCCCAATGTTTTCTTACTCTACATTTATAACAAACACTCTCAAGAATTTTTGCAATGTTTTTTTGTAAATTTTTATTCTTTGCATTCTTTTGTTTAAAAAAAAATTCATATTTGAAAATAAAATCATTGTGATACCAAGTGTTATTTCAACTACGATCATGTCCTTGACCATGATTATTATCATGACTACAACCATAGTGATGCACATGACCACGACCATTATTGTTGTGGGAAGTCACATTCGCTTTAAGCAATGAGGTTAAGCCAATAGGTCATGATTGATGATTTTTAATCAAAAGCTCAATATTTTGCCTAGCAACAAAAAAATATGATTTCAACTTTGAATATTTTTTAAAAACACACTTTTAATATTGTTGTTAAAAAAGCAAATTCAAAGCATGAACAGTGAGGAATGTTTTCTCCAAAATATCTTTATCAATAATTTTTTCTTTGCTTTATTTTAATTGATATGAAATTCGAAATATTGTAAAGTTGTACTTATTGATAATAAGAATAAGAATAGGAGTTTAGAATATTTTACCTAACTTATTTATTTGATTTGTTTAACGGACATGTAATATGAAATTGTATAACTAAAATTTTACTTGTATAATTAAAATTTTACTTGTACTTATATAAATTATAATACGTAATAACTAATAATTTAATATTCATATAATAACAATAATTTTTAAAAATTAAAATTATAAAATATAAAAAAAATATAAATATAAATATAAATTAAGTGAAAAATCCTAGGCAAAAATGGTTAAACATATGCAGCAATGCAACTTATACTCTTGTACTCTTGTACACTGAGGTCAATTGTGAATAACCCAACTTGATAGTTTTCAAAAGGTTTCAAATATTAGTTTTTTATTCAAATTTTCATGAAAATAAAAAGAGATGATAAAGGGGCTATTAAACCAACATTTTTGGAACTCTATTATTATTTTGGATTATAATAAATAATATTTTATTAAATTTTTATTAATTTTATTTAAGCTTACATTGCAGCAACTAATATTTTATTATATTTTAATTTAGATGTTAATTATATTTTAATTTGCACAAAATTTAGAGCAAAGTACCACTATCTTTAGTTGGATTTTGTTGTTTTAATTTGGTTTTTACATAAAATTTGACCCAATAATTTTATATATTAAATAAATGAAAAATAAAATTTTTTCATATAAATGACAATATTCAATAAGTATTAAGTATAAAAAGAAAAAAAAAATTCAATTATAATATATTTATTACATAAAATTATTTAGTCAAACTTTATATAAAAGTTAAAGTAGAATGATTACATCCGATTAGAAGAAGTATTTAACAAATAGATAAGTATTACTCCACAATTATTGGGATAGGTGGCAACCATAAGTGTTTAAGTATTTAGATAAATATTAAATCTAAAAAGTTATAATTTTTTTTTTTTTTCAAATCAATTAGCCAACTTATACTTAAAAATACTCATCCTAATAAAAAGGTTTTCATTTTCATTGTTCCGCAAACAAAATTTCAAAAAGATATTTTCAGATATGTGTTTATGCTTGGCAAACCACATTTTAGTAACGGCTTTGGTTATAGCCACCTTAAATTTGTTAAGGCTATCTAAATGTTAAATTTTTATTTTAATTTAATTATTAAAAGTAATTAATAATTAATAAAATATTAAATATATATCAATTAATAGATTGAAATAAGTTTATAAATGAATATTTTTAAATATTATAATTAATTATTTAATTAAAAAATTTATAAACTAATAAAATTACAGATATAATCAAAGACGACAACTAGGCCCTAGAAGATCAAGAAGTGCCCCTTCATCCCTGTGAATGGAAACAAGGGTTCTCATAGGGATTTTTGACTAAAATAAAAATTTTCCATATCCCTGTTTTCGATGGAGATTCTTGCTTTTTATTATATTATATTATAAAATTAATTTAATTATTTTACTTTATTATTTAAAAATAAAATATTGTACATAATTGGGTTAAAATAAAAACATATGTTAGGCACTTAATCATTTAGATCTAATAACATTAATCACATTTAATAAGTATACTTTCTTTTGTTATACGGATTCAAACTTGCTTTATATCAAATTGTTAAAAAAAATTTTAGATTTAATTTGATTTTAAATAATTAAACCTTAATATTAAATTAAAAATAAAAATAAATAGTAAATATATCTATGACTATAAATTAAATAGGTAAGTTTTGCTAAATTTAATATATTTTCTTTATTTTTTCAATAT